TAAACAGTCATGGTATTTCAGGCAGGACATGGGCAAGCAGTCATTAACAGCATACAAGAACTTGCAAACTCCCTTCTTGTATAGACTACCAAAATCAGAAGGCACCATAAAATGCAATGAAAACTTCATTCAATGCTCTGAAAAGAGGGAAGTAGCTTAGAATGAGGATTTACATTAAGGGTGTGTTCAACAACATTTCACAAACTAACCCTGACTTTCAGGAAATGAAATGAAAATGGCAGAATTATCAATATGAAGATCCACAATTTGTTATAAGAGGAACCACCACTCTTCTGTGGATACTAAATGATGTCACTGCAAAGTCCAGATGGCCCAATAGACTGAAAAACCAATTTGGGGATCAGGTTCCAATAGGTCTCTAGTTTTAATGGAGTTAAGTCAATGTTGATGGTACAAGGGGAGATTACAAAAATGAATTTAGGATTTTCCCATACCACAAGGCATTTTGCACCATGCTGGCCACATATGTCAATGAAGAGTTTGTTAGCCTGGGTATAACTCCATTTTAAAATAAAGAGTCATCTTGACTGGGAGATGAATTCAGGTACCAGAAAATATCACAGTATGTACACTTGGCAGAGAACAGAGTTAACTCTCCTAGCAACAGCCTCCAGAAAATATCACAGAATAAGTAATTCATAGAAAATAGAGACAATCTCCCTGGCAATAATCAATCAGAATCAGTTGAGAATTGGGTGGGAAAATTCTCCCCAATGTTTCAGATATCATTTAAAAGAATAGCCATTGTGATCATATGTCTTAGGCAATTGTGCCTCAGAGAGGCATATGTGTTAGGCAATTGTGCCTCAGAGAAGGTCACCTCGCCCCTCTAACTTTTATGTCAAGGCATATGCCCCCCCCCCGTTTGCTATCATAGAAACATGTGCCCCCATGCTTGCTGCTGTGGAAACCCCTGCTCACAAACTTTCCCTTTAAAAATCCTGCTCACTCAGAGCTTGGGGTCCCACTTCTCTACTGCTGTGTCAGTGAGACTTGGGTCCTGAGTTTGATCACTCTCATAATAAAGCTCTCTTGCTATTGCATCGAGTCATTTCCTGGTGGCCTCTGAGGGTCCTGTGAACCTGGCATTACATCAACACCACATATGTCAACTATGGAAAGCATATATAGAGTCTGTATAGATATTTAGGGAGTGTCCTTATGCCGACTGGATGGTGCAGGTAAGCACTATTAGTTCGGGCTGCTGATTGTTGGTGTAGGGAGGTAGGCCCTGTGCCTCAACCACCGCGGTATTGAACACTGTAGCATAGCCAGCTTGTTGGGCTCCCTTGTGTACAAAGGAGCTGCCATCTGTGTATTAGGTATAGATGGGCCAGAGTAATGTGCCCTCCTATATGTGTGAGGGGTGGGGCAATAGTTCCTTTAAAATTTCAATGCTAAAATGAGATGGGGAGTGGTTAGTGTTAGTTTAGGGAAGAACGTTTGAAATGTTAAGAGGTGGGCATGAATAGAAAGTAAGCATAGAGTCTTCTACTAGCACCACTTGGAGAGAAAGAACCCTGGAGGGAGGGAGAGGTTGTAAGCCTTTGTACTTTAGGAGGTGAGATAGGTTGTGAGAAGAGATGACAGTAGAAGGTGAACCAAAAGTTCATTGTTTGGATTTGCTAATAAAGAGCTCAGCAGCTGCTAAAGCATGCATCCTGGGTGCCCATCCCTGGGTGGTCAGGTCTAATTTTTCTGACAGATATGCTACAGGTGCAAAGGAAGGTTCCAGTTGGTGAACCAGGGCTGCAGAGCATATCCCTCTTTCACTATTACAGAGAGGAAGAAGGGATGGGTTAAGTCTGGGAAATGTAAGGCCGGGGACTAAAGGCTGGCCTGTTGGAGCCTTTGAAAGGGCTTGGTAATAGGTTTAAAAAGGGTTTCATGAGAGGAGCCTAAAGCTTGCCTCATTTGAAGGGCAGGCAAGGAGGAAAAAGGAAGGTATTCAGGGGAAGTAAATTAGTTCAACCAGACCCGAAGGTTTCCCCCAGGATACAGGGCCCCAGAGATGAGATGGCACAAGCTGGCAGAGCAGGTCGTCACGAGCTTTACCAGGGACATGGCAGACATCAGAGCAACACATTTTCAGCTAATACTAGGATTTTTTTACTCTTCAGAAAAGGAAATGAAAAACCGTGCCAGTAGATGAGAGATTATTCACCGAGGGGAAGGTGTTTGGATGGGGGTACAGGCCCCAGTGAACCAGAGAGGTACTGGACAATCTGTGGTCAGTTTCTTGGATAAAGGGAGTCATTTACAATGACCATGAAGAAGACCGGGAATAGAGTCCCAGCGGTGTGGCTTCAACCCATGAAGGAGAGCACTGGGCACCCAGAGAGCCTATGGAGCCGCTGAAGCACCAAATGTTGGGATTTAGGCAGCAGAGCTATGAGGAGTAATCCATAAAGTTACACCATGAAGCAGGTCTCACATGGGAAGTTTATTAGGGACATTTCTGGGTGAGGGTGGTGGGAAAGCGAGAGTGGGGAGGGGAAGGGAACTGGTCCTCTTACAAGGTGACCCAGCACATGCACAGGGAGAGGACATGTGGCTCTCAGTGACAGTTGAGTTGCATTTTGGCAGCTGGTGTTGACGTGTACATAAAGTTTTGTATAAGTTTATAGTCTGGATGATCCTCTTGAATTTGACCTCTAGAAAATACACTTCATAACCTCCCTGTGGACATGACATTACTCTTGCAAGTTAGAATTCCTGAATATGCCAAGAATAGGCTTCAGGTTCCCTTGGCTGGAGATAATTATCTTGGTCTACAAAAGCCAAGTACTTTGATTGCTCATGGATAGCTGATGGCAGATAAGAATTTATAAAGGAAGGTAATATTCCTGAAGACATAAATAAGTTACACCACTTAAAAAAATGTATGAGTTTCTTGCTTCAGCTGCAGTCAAAGACTGAAGGTTCTGAATTCTACCATATGTCATCATTCCAAGAGAGTTAGAGCCAGGTTTCATGGTGCAGATCTGTAATCCCAACTATTTGAGAGACTAAGGCAAGAGGATCACAAAATGAAAATGAGCCTATACAGAAAGGGAGTTTAAGGACAGCTTGAGTAATTTAGTAAGACTTTGTGTCAATGCAAACAATAGACATACTTGCCCAGCATGTTCAAGGCTCTATGTTTAATCCCCAGCATTGAATCAAAAAAAAAAAAAAAAAGAAAAGAAGGAGAAATTTTTGGGAGGAGGCAGAAAGGAAAGGAGACCCACTAGGAGCAGGGCAGACAGGCAGGGAAGGGGGTGGGCAGGGCAGGAAGGAAGGAAAGGCAGGGAGGGCAAGCAGGGGAGAGGATGCAGACAGGAAGGAAATGCAGGGGGTAGGAAGCAGGCAAAGAGGAAGGAAGTTGGTCTCCAGAACAACCTTAATCTGTACGTGAAGGCTTCAGATATGATCATTGCACAGGTTTCCATTGACCAAGATTTCATCCTCGTAAATCCACGCCCAGGAGTATTGCTAATGTAACTGGCTCCAAAGTCGAAGTTCAGCTAGACACCAGCTACTTTGAGGCTTGGAAAGGCAACCTAAAGTCTATCAAAAGGGAAAGGCTCAGTGTATGCCCACTGCCGCCCCCTTTTGCGGAGAAAGGGCAGAGCAAGCAGGTGAGGGCAGGCGCAGTGAACAGCGGATGCACCTGAACCTGAACGTTGCCTGCTAACCAATAGAGAAAGCTGGGAGGAGTCAGCACGTGTAATGCCAACAGTCATACATGCCACTGCCACAGAAGCTCTAGTGCCGTCAGGCAGGAAGAACACATCATACTGCATGCAGCTGCAGCCGCTGCTGGGCAGCTCCTGGTCAGATCAGTTCTACTCTTGTCCCTAGGGCAGATACCATTTCCTCGAAAAGATCAAGGTATAATACTGTCATCTGCCACCTCCAAACCATGACCTCAGGCATATCTGGAGCTGTTACAGCTCAACAGGTCAAAGTCAGTGTGTTTTGTTTTTTGTTATTTTTTTTGGTTTTGGTTTTGGTTTTAATGAACATGTGACTCATGGCTGATCCTTTTGTTAGGATTGTGCAACAGAGTTACACGGCAGGTTCACAAATCATGCCACGCAACTGGTTCCACTTGGGAGGTTTATTAAGGAATGGGGGAAGGGAAAAGAAAAGGGAAGAAGGAAGAGAAGCGGAAAGAAAAGGGGAAAGGGTTCACAGAGACCATCTCTCTGCAAGGCAGGAGAGAAAGAGAGAGGAGGAGCTTTGAGTCCTTATAAGGAGACCCAGAGCATGCACAGGTGGTTCCAGGTGATCTATAGGTGGCTTCACAGATGCCTGATATTTGGTTTGTCAGGTCCCTTGGGGCTGGCCATAGAGATGCCTGCTTATAGATCCCAACAGTCCTCCCTTTTTATTTTATGAAAAAGTGAGGAGCTAGGAAAGGGTGGTGGTGGGGAGGGCATAGGGGCAACCTTTGCTCTTTAACCTACTTCCTGCTGATTAGGGTGTTATGCCCAGTTCATGAACCCCAAAAGACCAGGAATAAATAGACTCCACCATAAATATATGAGGTTTTTTAATTGTATCCTCATTCAAACACAGGACACAAACCTCCTGTGGAAACAGGAGAGGAATTGCAGCCCTGAGGTCTAGGGGTACAAAGTTTTTTAAGGGGAAAAAAATGCAAGCAGTGACTTACTTGCTTTGGCATTACATGATTGGGTAAAGGAAATTGACTTTTAAAATGATTGTTCCACTTTAGGCATCAAGACCACAAACCGATCTGGCCTGGTCATATGGGCTGGTTTCCTAGCAACTGTATAATTAAAGGGTGGGGAAAGAATGCAGTAAGACCAGTTCTTCCCCTCAGGGCATTACTAGACAAGTCTCCACCTAGCTAGCCTTCCTTCAGGCTTTAAGCTTTAAAACAATATCCACTGATTTTTAAGTCTTTGGTCCTCATTCCCCCTTTCCCATGATCATTTAAAGACCCAATCTTGGGTCTTCCAGATATGACCCCTGAAGTCAGTCCTTCAAATTTACCTTTCTATAATCTGAGTACCATTAGCTATATTGCTTTCAAGTATTTATTCATGAAAGCCATCAAGCGATTTAAAATACAAGGACCAAAGCTAAAAATCAAAATGAGTAGGGATCCCTTCAGGGTGGATATAAAGGTAGTAAGCCCTATATTGTACTATTATACCAGGATTTAAACCATCTTCTGGAATCTTTTCTCTCTAGTATCTCTCCAGGAAGCAATACTAGTTCCTACTCCAGCTAATCAGGTTCCCAAGATAATAGCTACTGTCAGGGAGCCCCTTTTGTCTTAACATTTCAGCCTGCAAGATGGGATTTTGGGCTGAGGGTCTCTTCTTCTGAAATTGTTTCATATTGACAATAGGACCATTGGCATCAGAAGCTAGGAAGGCTGAAATGCCAGTCAAAGGCTGGGCAATGGGGTAGTCCTCAGAAGCATCTGGTTAGTTGATCCAACTGAAAAGACAGGGAGCAATCATGTCAGCTTCCAGAAAGTCCAGATTTCACCTTGCAGTTCATAGGTGATCCCAGAATATTCAACCAGGTGAAAATCTGCTGAGACAAATTCATACTAGAGACAGAAGTTAAAATTTGCCTAGTAAATGGGAAAAGTGAGGAATCCCAAGACCAGAGAAAAACTAATCTGGGGTCCATTTGAGCTATGCCAGATCCAGGTCTCATGACTTTTTGATTCCCTGAAACTCATCTGAAATTTTAGTTTACAAAAGGAAATATATTAAAAAAACTCAGAAAAATAACATACCAGCAATCCTAATATAAACAACATTCTGTGAGTAACAGGTAAAACTACACCCAACTGGATGAGCATCAGTTCTTCTTAGCTGTTTTGTAACCTTTATAAACATTTTAGGTGTGCCCACAGTCTGAAACTTTAACCCTTTTTCTGTGGGCCCAGCTGTTGGTAATCAGCCACCAACGTAGCTTGGCCACTTTTCATACACTCAGCATCTACTTTTAGCCCCCATCACCATGTCACACTGGAAAGTTAGGCAGAAATACATTAATGGCTTTAGTGCTAAACTCTGGATGCTTGAACTTTCCTTAATCAAAGCAACTAGAAGGAATATGTTTAAGATATTCCTGTGTCAAAGTCTGCCTCAGAAATGGTAGATATTAAGAATACCATAGTAAAACTATGGTTTTTGGGTCAGATATACGCATTAAACAAATGTTTTTAGCATGATGAGAAGCACCTTTAAGTCTATCTTCAGAAAACAACTAAAGGAAGTTAAAATCTCAAGCTTGTGACTGAATAGTAAGCAGTCAATGTCCCATCAACTTATCAGAACTCTGAACTTCTGAAACCTTATAACAACATAAGCACAGCAGTATGGGGGGAGAAATCTAAAATATCTCCCATTTTTAATATGCCTTATATCATTTTTCTATATCATTACAACTCATATTCATATCCCTTAAAACACCTACTTAGACCTCCAAACTTTCTTGCATTTACTAACTTGGAAACACTTTTCCAGACTGTCAAACAACACTTTCTAGATTCTCACAACCTAAACTCCTATATCCTCAGACCCTACATAAACTCGATATCTTTCTTTTCAGCTATACACAGGAACTAACATGAAGCCTGTGAACAGCAAGGCAGAGCTGTTTGCCTTTCTAAATAAGATATGTAGTACCTAGTAGTTCTAACTAGCTAATGAAGTGACCAATGAGCTAATAGTGGATCTAATTGTCTGCTCTTTAGCTGCAAAGCTACCATTAACTTAGCCTAGCCATCAATGTGATCAGAGACCTGAGAAGGATAAATTTAAGCTAAATAAATGTACCAATCAAAATGATAGAGATGACTAGTTAATCCATTACCTAGGCACTGTCCCTAGTTCCTGTGGTCTCATGGCATTATGAGTAGAGGCAGTCCAGCCAGGCACAGAGGATAAAAGACTGCTTCTGTGGAAAAAAGGAACATGAGAGATTGACCTCACCTTGCCTCCCGAAATGTGAAACAATGATTCTCCAGGTGTCCACAGCTTAGGCTGGGCCCTAGCTGTGGGCCAGTTGGGGCAGTCTTGCCCAGTGGTTACCTTAGATGTGTGTTTTAGGACTATATTTCAAGTAAATCTACATAGGCAAACTTCATAGTTACCCATCCTAGGCAAAAAAATAAAAAAAAAAAAAAACCTGAAGAAAGACAGTAGGTAAAGTTCAACATTGTAACCAACTGTAGTCACTAGCATAACTCTAAATATCTTTCCATAATACAATCAAAGCAAAATTTTTAATCAGATACAGTTCATAGAGGGGCCAGCAAATCTTGCTGATCCTACCACATTGCATTAAAACTAAAGAGCAAAAAGCTTTGCACTTAGCACCAATCAGAAAACTGAACACAGCTGGTAGCCCTAAACAAAAATCTCTGAACCAACATGGTGGCTAGCGACATGTTGCCACAGGCTATGGCTAACAATATAAAACATAGCCATTAGGTGTAGCTGATGGCATTGCTATTTTCCACAGTACAGCAAGCTCTGTGGAACATTCACAATTTTCCATAACCAAAAGTTCTAACATTGTGATCAAATAAGTTTAGAACCAACTACATAACAGAACAGTACAGAACAATCTTAAACCGTGTGAACTATTCTGGCCACACCAAACCTATGGGCAGAATTCTTTCCCTTTTAAAGAGCATAAGAAAACATTTTGCATTGAAGAATCACTAGCCTTTTAAATGAGAACAACATATTTTACAGTTCTTTCTCAAAACATATTTGCAGGTATGAACAACCAAAGCAAATGTAATTCATATGCCCTCTGGCTTTCCATACATACACTACCTTTCATAACATTCTATGTATCTTCAGGTTACTTTTCCTAGCTTCATTCTTCTGATTTAACCAGACATTCTTACTTTAGACAAGCTATTTTTTTTTAATATTCCAGTCTCTTGCTTTTCAGACAGCATAAAAACTCCCATCAAAATCCTTTCCTTCCTGACATGATCCTGCCAGAGTCCAGTGTGGGCTTATTCCATGATTTATTTTTTTATAGGCAAAGCAAAAACAAGTTACATCAATACAAAAAGAAGTTCTGGAACTGCCAAACTATTTTTCTAAAATTACTTCCCTGTAGTAGATATGGTCCAAGGTCACATAAATAAACTGTAAGGAACTTGGAACAAGTTTTAAGGAATTTAGTGAAACTTCCTCTTTTCTCTGTCTCAAGGTGAAGGCCACAGTGAAAACTCGTTTTTTGATAAACAAAGCAACTTAACAAACAAGCAGCTCTCCATATGATACACTGTAAAAGCCGAAATTTTCTCAATTGGCTCAAACAGTATGGCTTGGTTCCATTTAGTAAAATTAATAAAATAAATACCAAAGGTGTTTTGTTTTGTTTTGTTTTGTTTTGTTTTGTTTTGTTTTTGTCCTTGAAGAGTTTAAGTTAGCCTGGGTGACTCCATTTTGAAATGAGGAACCAGTTAGCCTGGGTGACTCTATTTTGAAATGAGGAGCCATCTTGACTGGGAGCTGAACTCAGGTACTAGGAAATATCATAGAATATGCACTTAGCAGAAAACAAAGTTAACTCTCCTAGCAACAGCCTCCAGGAAATATCACAGAATAAATACTTGATAGAAAATAGAGACATTCTCCCTGGCAATAATCAATGAGAATCAGTTAGGAAAATTCTCCCCAACGCTCCAGATGTAGTTTAGAAGAATGGCAATTATGATTATGTAAAAGATCACCTCACCCCTATGGCTTTTACCCAGTCCTGTGACATCAAGGCATGAACCCCCACTGCTTGCTGTCATGGAAACTCCCTGCTTGTAGTCTTTCCCTCTAAAAACTCTGCTCACTCAGGGTTTGGGGTCCCACTTCTCTACTGCTGTATCAGTGAGACTTGGATTCCAAGTTCAATCGCTCTTGTAATAAAGCTTTCTTGCTCTTGCATCGAGTCTTTTTCTGGTGGTCTCTGAGGATCCCGTGATCCTGGCATAACAGTACTCCCCCAAAGGATTGAGAAACTGTTCCAAGTTTTTTTAGACTGTCAAAGATCATTGTTTAAAATGCCTGATAAACTTTAAAATGTTTCATCCCTTAAAACATTTAAACATGCTCCAAAACCTGTTTTTGCAATATCAAAACAAAGTACCCTCTTTAGGAATAAGTTCACAAAGCATAACCATAATTTTAAAAGTCAAAACCAGATTTTAAAACCAAAATTCACCAATGCAAACAATCCAATCTCTAAAACCAATACCAATTTAAAATGAGACTTGTCTTCTTAGTCAAAACAGAACTAGAATAATGGACAAAATTCATTTCAACTAGGAGGTTCTGTAATCTCTCTCTCTCTTTTTCCTGACCCACACCACATGGCATTCTCAAGATAGCAGAGTCACATCACATTCCATGTAGCAATTTACATTGTTGCTATTTAAACACATGCCTTTATAGACCTAAAAATGCATAGGCACACATATATGTTCTAAACAAGAGTTTGAATTTAACCTTTAAACATACCCAATAACTCTTAATCTACAATCAGGACATACAGAGCATATTAACCATTTAAGATCAGTCAAAAACAAACATGATGGCCATCCATATATTTAAACAGAAAAAACTGTTCTTACTTGATCTAAAACCGATGGTGAGATTCCTCATCCACCCCAGGGCCAGGGATTTTTTCTATTCACCCCCACAGCTGTGACTCTCAAGTATGTCCACTCAGTCACTTGCCGCCACTCCTACAAATAGACACCTTGAGGCCTTTCAGAATAGAAAACAGAAAGTAGACCAAACATAAATACTGTACAGAGACCCTTGCCATCGCTGCCACCCCGGGAGGCGCCAAGAGCAGGCAGCTTTGGGCCGGCTCCCCCTCCCCTAGGCACATCTGAGCGGTGCTTCCTTTCTGCTGCCCTTCCCACCCCTCACAGCTGCTTGGGCTTCTCATCCTGGTCAGGACAGGCATCATGTCTGTGTGCCACCGCCACTGCTATCTCTCTGGGGCTCCAGCCACCATGGTGGTAGTGCTCGCTGGACCAGGCAGCCTGGGTTTATGAGTGCTGGCCACCTGGAGTCGAGTGGGCATACTATTTGCACAACCGGCGCATGACAGACCCAGCAGCAGCTCCACTCTCGCAGCAGCAGGGCTATGCCCTGCCCCAGCCTTTCTAGAGCCTGGCCTGCAAGGTTGTCATGTGTCACCATGTTGGAACTGTGTCTGGCAAAGGTCTAACAATTTCACTCCAACAGACACAGAAACCAAAACAGACTAGACAAATTACCTGCCAAAATACTGATGAAGCTAGGGGTGTCCCCTGAACTTCGGCAGCTGTGATCCCCAGGATGTCTGTCATAATCATGTCTTGCTGCCAGGATACTGACACCCCGAGCCCTGAGGAATTTTTGGGATAAAGGAAAGAAAATGCATGCAAACACAGACATTGCACAGAGACATTTAGACACTTACTGTCGGCATAAAAACCTCTGGATCAGGTTCCTGGAATCTTGGGATCCTGGACGAGTCCCTAAAAATGTTATGCCCAGTTCATGAACCGCAAAAGGCCAGGAATAAATAGACTTTACCATAAATACGTGAGGTTTTAAAATTGTGTATGCATTCAAACACAGGACACAAACTTCCTGTGGAAACAGGAGCGGAATGTGGCCCTGAGGTCTAGGGGTACAGAGTTTTAAGGGGCAAAAACACAAGCAGTGACTTAAACTTACTTGCTTTGGCATTAGATGATTAGGGAAGGGAAATTGACTTTTGAAAATGATTGGTCCACTTTAGGTGCCAAGACTACAAACATATCTGGCCTGGTCATATGGGTTGGTTTCCTAGCAACTGTATAATTAGAGGGTGAGGAAAGAATGCAGTAAGGCCAGTTCTTCACCTCAGGGCATTACTGGACATGTTTCCACCTACCTAGCCTTCTTTCAGACTTTGAGCTTTAAAACAATACCCACTGATTTTTAAGTCTTTGGTCTCTCAAGGGGTATTGTCATTCAATTGGAGGGACATTATCATCTGATTCTGTGGGCAGAGTTTGATAATCCTGTAAGAGTAACTTATTGATGGTTTGGTTAGAGAATTTTTGCATTTGTTGTTGGAGGAATGTAGAGAGGAAATTAATTAAGCAAGGTGCAAAAAGCAAAAGAAGAAAGAGCAGAAGAGGTGTAAGGAAGGGCAGAATCCATTTCCATATGGGGTTCTCGAAGGTCCAAGAGCTAGAGGCCTAGAGCTGTTCCCTTTGCTTTTGTAGATCTGCCTAGAGTTGTTGGATTTTGTCTTTTACTATATCAGATTGGTTGACATAAAAACAGCATTCGTCCTGGAGGAAGATGCAAAGGCCACCTTCTTTAGCTGTGAGGAGATCCAATCCACGTCAGTTTTGAAGTACTACTGCTGCCAGCAAGTCGATCTATCCTTGTAGGGTTAGCATTGTCTGAGCCTGTTGAAGGTCCTGGATGAAATGGGAAGAAAGCTGACAGTACAAAGTTAGCAAAGTGGCTAGTCCAGCTGTCCCAGGCCCAACAGCTGCTGTGATTTCTGCAACAGCCAAGAGAGGCAATATTTGAATTGCCCTTTTATCCTGCTGGGCAGCTTTTGAATCCGCAACCGGGATTGGTAGGGACTCTTTTCATTTATCACCACCAGCTCAGGGAAGAGGATCACAAGCATGCAAACTCCTGACGAACTAGCAGGCAGATGATGTTAGTTAGACCTGAGTGCCACAAAGGATCAAGGTGTTATTAGCAGAAGGGTATTGGAATTGAAATAAGGTATCAAGAATTATAGTTTTATTACACTCTAAGTGAAAGATCCCCGGAGGGTATCTTCCGTCAGAGAGACCCCCTCCCAA